GGGATGAATTCACGTGCTATTGGGAGCATTGTCCTAGGAAAACCAAGCCATTTAACGCCAGATACAAGCTACTGATCCACATGAGAGTGCACAGCGGTGAAAAACCGAACAAATGTCCAGTAAGTAAAATTTTAACCGTTTTTCCTGCCCTTTTCCGAATTCAAGTGCAACCATGCATCACACCAAGCAAATGCGTGTAACGCAAACAAATCCGATCAGTGTTTAACATGCAGAACATCTCCTTATTAAATAAACACAATAACACTCTTGCTAGACTCAATATCCATAGTTTATCAAACACTGTTTGTCATTTCACACCTATTAGAATAACAGACTGCATCGAGTTTACCAGGCAAGTGCGTTTTGGGTTAACGGGTCATGCCCTCTTTAACTTAATTAAACAAATAAATGTTGGCAGTAACAGATTGATTTTTTGTCACCTGAATTATCATCCAAACCGAATTTAAAAAAATAAATATAGTAATAAAATTTAAACTAAATAGTTAATAAACTTCTACTACAGTAGCATGATTAATGAGCTTAGTTCATGCTCGCTTCCATTCTCAAAACAGTTTAATTGAAACGAGAGTCGATACCTAAAACCCCAACACGTTTTGTGTTGACAACTTCCGTGTTTTTCAACTTTGGAATTAAATCGTCTGTATCCCAGTTGCCAAAAGTATCAAATTCGTGTTTCCATTTGTGGTCATAACGGGACATTATAAAGTGATGAAACCACATGTACATGTTCCGACTCGAACTGTTAACATGTGGTCGAAATGTAAAATACATTCGTTGGAAATGTAATTGTAGAATAGATTGTGTGTGAACAGTGTCGGAGGTTGTATATAACTAAACACTAAAAACACACATAAAACTAAACACTGTCGTTTACTATCGATTGTTGGTTTTTTCCAAGTTTCAGAAAATATGCTAGTTTGCTTTACATTGGGCCCTTATTTTGCCAAAAATTAGTCGCATAAGTAGTGACGCCGGGAAATCGATACGTTTTGAATCGTTTTTAGCCCCAAATAAAATATTTATTCGAAAATATATAAATATTCAAAAGCCTTCCTCGACTCCCGATTCTAAACAAAAAACTATTTGTCAGTTTTTCGTCTCAACTTTCAGATTTTTTAGCTTGGGTCATCAAAGCAAAATTCAAGTTTTCTATCATCATCAGATTCAATTGGAAAAAAGCAAAAAACACGACAAAATATAAAAAATATATATTTTAAATAACAATCAAGAAATCAAAATTTGCAATTGAAATATTAATTGTACATCTAAGAAACATAAAACTCGCAAAACAAATAGTCACATAAACACAAAAAAAATATTATTAAAAGTTAATATGTCCAATAGCTTTCGCTGAACCATTAATCGTTAATAAAAGAGACATTTTAAGCCACTGCCTTATCATAAAAATGGTACAATCGCTCTTCTAGGTGAATGGGTCTGATGATTTATAAATAAACCAAAATGTATCATACATCGGTTTAATGTGTTTGCTCAAATCTCATACGACCTAATTATTCATCAAAACACGTTGACTGGTTGATAAACGTAGCTCCTTTCCTGGCAAGAAATAAATACTAAACTCAAATTAAATTACCCTTGCTTCACACATAAATTGAACACTAACTAAATTAAATAAAACATTCCCGTTCTTCTAAAACACCAATTGGGGTTCTAGGCTACACAATAACTCAACACGCAAGCTTGTTTACCCATATCTCCAGCGTGCCTTGCACATACATGTAAATGTTAATATTAATTACCGTTTCGACTAAACATTTAATCAAGGCAATTGCAGTAAAATAAACAGTGTGTAATCTGGAACGCCATTGGAATATGTGCATCTAATAGTGGTATAGTTCTCGCAGAACCACCTGCCTCAACTAGAAAGTCAGTGAGCTTTAGAGTCGGGTTATGACTCCTATAAAAAGCCAACACGTTTATTTTCCTTTCATATGTTAATGTTTTAGTTGACGATTGGTTTATATCTCGAAAACGACGCCAATTTAACCGTTTGCTTTCTGTTGCAGTTCAAAGGATGCAATAAGGCGTTTTCCAGACTGGAAAATCTGAAAATCCACCAGCGGAGCCACACCGGAGAAAGGCCTTATTTATGCCAGTTTACTGGATGTTCAAAGTGTTTTTCCAACAGTTCCGATCGGGCCAAACATCAAAGAACCCACTTTGATACCGTGAGTACTTTAGTTGGAATGTTCTCAAAAATGTCTCTAATTCTTGGACATTCTCCACATAGAAACCCTACGCTTGCCAAGTGATGGGTTGCTTAAAAAAATACACGGACCCCAGTAGTCTAAGAAAACATGTGAAGAACCACAGCCACGAGGAGCAGTTGCAGATCAAAAAGAAAAGTCAAGAAGAGTCAATGTTCTCCAACGTAACCGTGCGGAAATTCTTGGATCCAAGCAGACAGAAAGCCATAAAAATTGAACCAGTGTTCAATTCAAAAACCGACCATACCTATTCCAATGCGCCAGAAAAGACGCTGGAAATAGGGCGATACTTGTCGGTAAACGTGAAACAGGATTTGAAAAATAAGATCGAGAAGAATAAAATAAGAAAACTGATTTTTTAGACACTCAAACGTTAGTTAATTAGGGACCAATAATAAGATTGTGATATGTACTATAGTGTAAACATTTAAAGTCGAATTGTTGCGAATTATTTTTGTAAAAGATTTTGTAAGTTAAATAAAATTTTATATATAACTTTTCCTCTGTTTTCGAGCGGCGCTTCCAACTAAACTGAGCTAAGTTTAGGGCCAATTGGCCCATCACCAAATCACCCAAATAAAATAATTAACTTACCAGCTTCGGGTGCAGACGCTCAATCACTTTCCTCCTCATCACTAAAGTATGAGCTTTTCTTTATTCTCTTCTTACTGGAGCCTGCCTCGCCGGGATCATAAGCGCCTAAAGCCACTTTATAGCGGTATTCTTCGATATCGTGTTTCTCTTGCTGGAATTGATCGACGTTAACATTCATATGAAACTATAGGTCCAAAAAAATTACCTCAGTTTTGATTGCAGCACTCAGAGTTTCCTCGTCAAGAGGTACTGAATGAGACTCTTCCTCAGAACTATCGAAAAATTGCTTTTCCTCCTAGTGAAAAAAACATACAATTATTGATAGTTTGGTATTGATATCAATGTGATTGTACCTCTGTTAGTGACTGACTAGTTTTCTTCTTTCGAATGCGCACTTTCTTCGCAGGTGGTTCTCGTTCTCCCAATAAGTTTTTCGAACATTTGTAACTCAAATGACCGAATTCGCCACATTCATAACAACGCGTTTTATCGGGATATTCCTGCACGAAAATGTATTACCCATCAGAGCGGGAATTTACAATGTTAATATAAGCCAGCCTTACCCTTCGTCTAATAAACTCGGTTGATCGGCCGTTATCTTTCGCTATGCTCGCCTTTAATGTTCTGCCAAACATCTAGGACGAAAAAAGTATTAGATAACTTACGCTCTCTTTCTAAAAATAATCTGAGTAAATTACCTCTTTCAAATTGGTTTCCTGCACACATGCCTGAGCTTCTTCAGGCTTCAAGAACAAAATAAAGGCCACACCTTTGCTTTTTCGCGATTGACGATCCTTAACGACTGATACTCTGAAAATTATAAAAACGTCGCTTTAGCTTACAGATATATCGAACCCTCTAAAAAAATCATTAGAATTTATTGATGATTAACAGCAGACAAGTTTGAACAAAATGAACATATGGAACCAAATTTCTGATACTGACTGGCTTCAGCACAATAAAGTCAATATTTTTATCACCTGTATCAAAGCGGTACAAAAAGAATGTTTTTAAATACGTGGAACCTTTACAAGAAAGTACTGCTTATCAATATTGATAAAATCAAGAGTTTTTGAGAAAACGCTATCTTTATTATATGGATCTACAAAATAAAGATTGTTGCGTCCTGAACAAGGCCTGGACATTCATGTAAAAAGGTTTATATTGTATTATACTTATTCAACAAATAATTTACGGTTTTCTAAGAGTCTGTATCTCTGCAAGGGGACGTTGGAAAATGCTAAAGAAATTTTGATAAAGTACGTTAAATGAAGAGGAAGCAAATGCTGAATAGTAATAGTAAATAGTCCTATTGCGGTATTAAGCTTAACTCTTGAATTTATATATTTCCTTCAAACTTATGCCATTAGCGACTTGAAATTTGAGTGCGTACGATCGAAAGAGGCTCTTTGCTGGGTAATATTGGTAAATAATAAATGTACATATCAGCAATAGATATAAATCAACTACACCTGAACCATACTTGACTATTTTTCCATGTTTTTCAAACACTTTGTGTAAATCATTATTCTTCAAATCGAAAGGCAAATTAGACACGTAAACCGTGCTTTTACTGGGAATTAAGCCGCCACTCATAATAAGATAATAAAATAAGAATTACAGAAAATAAAGTCTAACTTCGAAAACATTCAAAAATATGAAGGTTATGTTAATCTTAATTAAGTTTGGTTATGTGTGTTAATCTATTCTATTAGGTTCATTGATCAATCTGGCAACAGCAACAAGGTCTTTGATTTTATTTTAAAAAATACAATGGAATATATGTAATTTTGGATAATGTATAACCATTGTCTTCATCTATGTGTATAACTTTTCTTTGAAGTTTCAGGGTTAAATAACCTGCAACTTTACCATATGATACTTGCAAGTAGACATAAAGTGTATTTTTCACGTTATGTGGTCTTTGTTACCTACCGGTGTATACTTCTAGAATTATTTGGGTGTCGAATTCAAAATACTGAAAAAATCTCCAAAATGTCTTGGGAGTCTCAACGAGCTTGCAATGTTTATTAAGTCCGGCCCTGTCTGCACTCGGCGCATAGCAATATGTAAGCTGTCGATTGACAATAAACGTCAGAAAATTCCAAAAATGAAAATAGCATTTTTGACTAAAAATGCCCGAATGGGATGGAAAATACCACAAAACAGTGAAGAAAAAGCCACATTTTCAGAAAATCACTAACTTCAAGCAAGAAAACTAATACAAATTGAGATTTTTTCATTTTTTGGGAGCACTCCACGCGCATTATTTTCTATCTATCTATCGATACACACTAAACTAATTCGACAGAATCGCACAAGCTTCTTTAAACGCAATAACTATGTGGTTCAATATGGATTTAAGTGATTTTTTGGGTAAAATTATTACAGAAACGCGCTAATTATTCTATTTTAACAAGCGAGCAATAAAATCCGCACAATGACCAGTGAGCCTTGGCATACATTTCAAATGTATGCCAAGGCTTAAAGCAGCAACAACGCTACACGTAAAAACTGATGATGGTGGAAAAATACACCGAAACGTATTTTAATTGATAAATAAAGACAATAAATGACGTGTTTTTAATTTCAGTTTCTTCTGTAAGCGCCTGAAACAACCAACTGTTTACTCATTTTCCATCGGATATCTTCTAGTCTGTATGATTTCTAGATGGAAAACTAGCAAGTAAAGCGGGCGTTTATTTTTCAGCAATTGTTACTTACCGATAAATACTCCTGCATGTGGTTTGGAATCAAATTCAAAAACCCGAAGAAATTTTGAAATGTGTTTAGTCTCTAAGTGCACGTTCAAGAAATAGAATCCGGACCTGAGTGTATACCGAGAACCTCAACATGTCGACATTCGATTGACAATCAACGTCAGAAAATTCCCAAATTGAAAATAGTTTTTTTTTGTGTAAAACTGCACTACCGGGATGGAAAATACGACAAAATGGTGAAGAAAGACCCGCATTTTCAGAAAATCACTAACTTTTCCTAAGATCATTGAAACAAATTGAGATTTTCCAATTTATTACGTAACTTTCCGATCGCATCTACCGATACACAAAAGACTAATTCGACGGGATCACACGAGAAGGAACGAAATGTGCTCGGAAAATGTGTTTGTTTAAAATTACTTCAGGAATGCGCTTTTTACACAAACCTCACAATACAAATCAGTGTGAACAAAAAAAATATCAACAGGGTTAAATCACAGAAATTCTGCGTTCCAAATTTCACTGTTTTCTGTAAGTATACAAAACCAAGTCCCTCATATTTTTAGTCAAACTTTTAGTCTGGCTGACCTTTGCATCAAGAATAATTATAGGAAAGTGTCATTATGGTAAAAAAAAACAAAAATATAACTCAGGTTATTCATTTTAAATCATACCCTACTTTATACAAAATGTTATACAATCGCATTTGCTACAAATATGAGGCCAAAAGATCATAATATATGTATTTTGTTGAAAAATTTTCGGTGAAAGGCCATGAAAGCCTTTATAGCTTCTAATATATGTTGAGTTATTTATAAATACGTTCTATGATTATTCTATAGCTCAAGGATACCTTATTATATAATTATATACAGACTGTAGCATATAATTTAAAGACTTATACATATACATATTAATATTGCTATATACAAGTTAATTAACAAAAAAACATTCACTGCAAGATGGTTGATTTTCTTGGGAAACCGGTCTGGGCAAGGCGGTCTTCCCAAGAAAATCAACCATCAGGCATATCGGTCAAGAAACTGGAACTTAAAAAAACATTCACACAATAGAGAGAAAATTTAGTTAGATACGAAAACGCAGTTGAATAAATTAGGGCTGATAAAATTAAAATATTGGTCCCAGATAGGCAAAATAAGATGTCGATTCTGCAAACGAAGCAAACAGTTTTAAGTTAAAACAATTAAGTAGTTTTTATAGTCCGGACGTTTTATGCCGTTTCATGGCTGATACCTACCTAATCGATTTTATTAAGCAAAAATCCCTCTGCCTGATTAGTAGTAAAAAATTAGAGTAAAATATTCATAAAAATAAGCTGCTCAATTAATAACTAGTAAGTCTACTACTCAAGGAGTAAATTACCTTTTATTGCATTAAGTGTCTTGCACGGAAAAACACATTTGTGTAAAACAAAATTATAATTTTGTTGAAAACAGCCTGAAAAATGTTTTTCTTAGAGGACTGGAAGAAAATTGGACTACAAGTTAAAGTATTGAAAACAAAATGCTGCCTTAAAAAATATTAAAGGTACATAAAAGGGTAGAACGAAAAGTGGTTTTTAAAGCTAAAGAGCTGAGCGTGGAAAGCATTTGAATCATATACAGGAGTTAAATTATGTAATTCCTGTCTCTGTTCAGAATAATAACGATTTTCACATGCTTCCAACATCTACATAATTGACTGTTGTAGTCCGAAGGAAATTATTACCCGAACCAATTAACAAACTATCTAGTTCGAGTGATTTTCAAATCTTAAGTCTAGATGGGTATTTTGGATACTTATTATAATTAGTAATAATGGCAACAAAACTATCTGCCGATAGTAGGTAGGATTTTTAAACCACGGTTTATACAATTAGATGTTATATTTTCGACTCTATTTTAAAATACTTTTAATTTAGACGCTTTCAAAGTAGTCATATACAAAAAAATTGACAAATATTTAACTTTCGTTATTTGACTGGAAGAAGACTGGTTATAAAACAGAAGCTACTATGAAAAATAGTACAAAGCCATTCGAAACTTGTTTCATTGGAAAGTTTGATTTCATAACATCTTTAACTTTATATAAACCGAGTTAAAAAAAAACTTTGCATATTAACTACAATAAATATTGTATATACGAACGCAGCAACCCGCATCTAAATGAGCACGTTCGCTGTATAAACTTCAGATCACTATTGCTTATCTTTTACAATAATTATAGAGGTACACATTCAAGTTTGTTTCTTCTTCTTCAATCTTTGTTGAAGCTTCATAACGCAACTGGCCAGGATTAGATTAGATTCCGCTTTGAAACATGTTCGCTTCACATTTCCAAATGGACCGAATTGTTTATATCCTATACGCTCCGCACGAAAATAGGATACTAAGGCTTAAACTTTACCAAGGGTATATTTTTGGTAGCCAGGCACTTATCACACACCCATTCCGCGTAGACTTCCGCGGTAAGCAGTTGGAACGCATGTTCAGTTAATCCAGTACAGCCTCGATGGAACCAAAAATTGCAGCCACTTTCGCAAAGGATTGCTTGATCGTTGTCATGAACCTAATGATCGCAAAGTACATAAAAGTGGGTCTAAAACGCTCGAAACGCTCGCAAAACTAGCTTTTAAATGTTTCTTGATTTCGAAGACGAAAATTATGCGCGCTTTTCAGTTGCTAAGCACGAAATTAAAATCGACTGGCGTTGAATTACAGTAATGTATGGATAATCGGAGGAGAAAGCTGGCAGAACCAATTCGGACTGTAAATGAGTATGTATCTTTCTTAAGAGTACACGTGCACAAATACCTCTTAACTCCAAATGAAAGAACAAAATTAATAGTTTGTTGAAGATATTTTTCGGTGCGTCCATCAGCCTTCTTCAAAATTGCCATGCAGTGGCAGCTCGTTTTATTACGCCCAACTTAATATACATTAAATGAGACCATCGCCAACTGGTCTCGTACTGGGCATTTCCTGAATAAGTTCGTCTTTATCATCGGGCTGATTTTTCGCAATAATCTTATCAGTTTCTAATAATTTTAATCCCAAATTCCTCTTCATCGCCTTTTGTTCATTTGTCCACCTCTGGTGTATCTACCATCAGGCGGATTCACTCAACTCCAGAAGGGTTTTTTCTCGTAAATCACTCAGAAGCTTCAAAACTTCTTCATTCATGATTCACCTATTTTGCGGAAATTTTCTTCCGGAATTCAGTTAATTCACGGTTTGCAACTTTAAGGTACACATTTCAAAAAATTGTGCAAAATTTTCATCTTGTCGCGAAACCCTGATATTTGGGTGAACCGTATGAATCAACGCTTGTGTGTTGAAACACTATTTGAAAAATTACCATCATGCCTGGAAGTGTATGAACAACATGCAGACTCCAGCCAACAAAAATTTAACGCTTTTGAACAAGGATTAATTTGCGGTGCGCTTTCGTTTCTAGGCCATAGTTTAAAGTAAATAGGTACGTACTCACAGCGTACATATTTGAAATTGCAAAGTAACGCCATCAAATGCTCCGGACTGCAATTGTGTCGCTTGAATTATAGAAACTATCCATACATTACTGTAGTCTTACTTTGTAAGCTCTAAAAGACTTACCTCTTTATGGCATATTCCACATGGATATATCGGTGGCGCATTCGGATTTTGGGAGTTAAAAACCATGGGCTGATCGGCAGGATACACTTTTCCGGCACTGACTGGCATCGGTTTGGAATACATGGCGTTCATAGGGGACATCATAAAATTATTGTTGTTCATTGGAGGACCTGAACAAAATGAGTGCAAATTCAGTTCCGAAAACTGATACCTATGTTGAGAACCTAGATAAAAAGTACTTAAGCAATTAGCTGTTACAAATCAATAACTATGTTTCGTATGAACTCCCTTTACCAATTAATTGCACAAATAACTGGCGGCCTTTTACGGAGAATTGACTACTAAACCGTCTACGCAAATTAGAACAAAATTAAAAAGCTTTCAACCTTGTCACTAAACAAATTTATGTTATTTAAAAGGCCATTACTTTTCATTAATAAAAACAACACTCGTCAGTATTAATACATTAAAACTAAATTGTCTTTCAGCATTTTATCTTTGAACTAAACAAATATTTATTTGCAAATTAATGTGCTTTATTAAAGGCAGAAAAAATGCTAATTACTCTCTCAATTGAATGCGGTTTTAATAGATTTACTTCACAATATCTAGATGTTATCAGATTTAATTAAGTAGGAATGCGGACCGAGGTGTTTGATTAAATTAAGGAACAACACAACTCATGCCTTTAACATGCAATTAACAACTAATAATTAACATGTAAAATGTTAACAATTAAAATCAACAAACCCTAAGCAAACACAAAATATATACCTATCGGCCCATTAGGCCCATTCATATGTCCCATGCCGCCTCCAGGCCCTCCGTGCGGCCCCCCGGGCCCGTGCGGTCCCCCCATCGGCCCCGGTCCGTTCATAGGCCCATTCATCGGATTATTCATGGGGCCGCTCATGGGACCGTTAATTGGACCATTCATGGGGCCATTCATTTGATTATTGGGGCCACCTCCATTCATTGGCCCGTTCATAGGTCCTCCTCCCATTGGGCCGCCCATCGGGCCGCAACCTGGACCCATTGGACCTTGCATCGACCCCATGCCACCTATGGGACTATGCATTGGAGGACCTGCAATATTACCAAAATAATTACACTTTTGCAGTCATTGCATGGAATTTTTTGAGTAGAGGTCAATTTTTCTGCTGCCTGCTGTAGAATGTAAGAGTTTGAGGAAACCTCCTCTGAAGGGGCGCGCCTCTATTTTGGTGAAAGGTCAGGAAAAATTCTAGTCCAGCCTCAAAAAAACTCACTAGCTGATACATTTTGTTAATGTTGCGCGTTGCTTCTATTTAATTTACACTTAGGCAACGCTAATTGCCGGTATGTGTGCAATTAGTGAAGATAAAAGGTGTATTAATCGCAAAAACGCGACACATATGGAAATATGTTTTGTTAAATGTCTGATAGCAGTTAATATTGAAAATAAAATGTTATTGCAACCTTTGCCTTATTTTATTACCTGTCATGCCAGGATGCATGGGCCCCCCTGGTCCATGCCCGTTAGGACTATTCAGCATATGGGGACCGCCATGAGGGCCTGGTCCTGGTCCCATGTGACCGCCCATTCGGGGCCCTCCCGACATCATAGGATTGCCCATAGCGTTTGGGCTGTGCATCATAGGAGAACCCATCGGACCCATGCCCGGAAAACGAACTATGCGAACTACATTAGAAGTTGCATTAACAGGAATAGCTCACAAGCGTTAAACACTGAAGCTTTACGCATCTCTAATGTGTTAACTAACAAGAATTTTCCGTAATGAACCTGTTTGATTGTTTCTGAATGTGTCGGAAATCCCCTTGAGAATTTCGTTTCAAATGTGGTGGATGTTAAAGGAAAGTTTTCTAGGAAAAAAGGTTGATAAAACTGTAGCTTTTCGTCAAGCTGTTACTTAATACAAGGACGAGGTTCTTGTCTGCACCTCTAATAGCACTTTCATTACTTTTTGTGCTTGTTTCCATCAAACTGAGAAAGATCTTCATCAGTTGAGGCGCGTTTTAATGCTTCGCAGCTGCACAATCTTAAAAAATTCGAGGAAGCGAATAATGTTTCTTTCTAAAGCTACAGACGAGACTGCAATTGTCTGAATATTGCAAGCTAAAAAACCGAACCCACAATAAAATAAATTCCGTGCACGTATTAAATGTGCACAATGACCAGCGAAACCCACCGAATTTCTCAAGACCCCTACGGATGAATGAGCCGTTCACCAGCAGACCGCTTTGAAATTATTTGCGGCAAACGTTTTTTTTTTAATGAATAGTTCTTTTTACAGGGAAAACGAGTTTATTATTTAATTAATTATAAAAGTTTAGAAAATCAAATTTTATCTTCAGGATGTTTCAATATGTGATAGGATTTGGTTCAAACATTTGATACACAAACAGAAACTCCCATTACAGATCCCACCAGTACAATTTATATAACAATAATTGAAAAGTATCACCAAGAAGCTTTCAGTTAAATTTAAATAGGTGAAAGACAGAAGAAATCTATACCTGCTCCCATTGGAGGTCTTCCCATTCCCATCGCGCAAGTCATATTAGGGGGCATACCCATTGGTCCCCCCATGGGCCCCATTTGAGGGCCCCTATTCATGCCCATGCTATTAACAGAGCTGGGACAGTCATCGAAAGGGTTGCTTGCCACAATCGTGTCTCCATATCCGCTAGGAGTGGGCGGTAGCAAATCCTGCACATTAGGGGGCGCTTGGATGGGTTGTGATTGATTATTTTTCCGTCTTTTCTTAGGGTTGCTCGGAGGCCCAATAATATCAGGGCCCAAGTTAGGAACATTCAACCTGAACTGCGACATATTAGCCATATCCTATCAACTACAATTGCTTATCTAAGTTTTATCACTGGAATTGGGGTTCCACTAGAACTAGTTGGCCGTCACTGGACTGTTTGTAATGATACACTGGGGCTTTGCTGCGATTTGACCAAGACTTTGTCTCTTTTTGACTCAAGATATCCTCAGAACTCACTGCTACTTCCTTCAAAGCAGACTCATCAATGGGCTCATATGCTCTCTTCAAATTCAAAGGTCTAGCCCTAGGTAAGCACTGCTTTTCCAGGTTGTTCACTTTAATAACTTTCAAAACTTTGTCGGAGTTACTGAACAACTTTACACCAGCTTTACGCTTCTTCTGTGTAGGAACTGAGTCTTTGTTTTCAACAATCTTGGTCAGTTTTTGCAATTTATCCTCTATAATTTGTGACAAATGCTTGGCTACGTGTTGCTGGAACTCTGGGGTCACTCTGAACAAATTGAACTGCTCATCTTCGTCTTGGGTTTTTCTGAGCGATGGTGGTTTTGGATTGTTCTCGGCTTTTTCTTGAGAATTAACTGGAACATTTAAGGTTTCACCCATTAGTCTCAGGCTGGAAGCCCATTTGGACAGAGGGCTGAGAAATAGTCTCTTACAGGGTTTTTCTAGTCACTTACAGGGTTTTTCCGTGAACATGGAGTCATTTAGGAATTCATGATCGACGGCTTCTCTGAGAAGGTCCAAATTCTCATCATCGGAACTATCTGAGCTCATGTTATTCATCCAATCAATAAAAACAGTGCTATTTTGCACATGTTCAATTCAGAAACATCACTCAACCATTTTCAATTTAACATAAACACATGATACAATGAACGAAGAGTTTGTCTTCAGTTGTCTTATCTATGATGAATATTGTATTCATTGTATCATGACATAAACACGCTTCTACTTCCTTTCGTCATTATTGAAGTTGACACAGTCACTATTTGCGCAGCCAGTGTTGTCTTCGAAAGTCTGGGTTTTTCTAGTTTTGGGATTTTATTTAAGTATCTAGTTTATTTCTATTCGCAGTAATTTACAATGCGATGACTGAATAATAGAATTGGCGGAAAAGGCACCAGTGCTAGTGTTAGACCCGAGAAAACTCTGAACTATTTGTAAACTTGGCAACTAGCAATCAACATCTTGCGCATGGGTTTGAGGTTAGCGTAACTTGCGCTGAAGACGTCACATGATTTTTAACGTAACCGAACAAAAAGCCGAAAAACGTCACTTTTCCTGACATTTTTGTCCTACAAGGGGTCACAGTTGAGCACTTGGTGAATAATTCGCTGATAAATCAAAAGAAAAATGTTTTCGAGATTAGTGAGACCCACACTGGTTTCCGCCAGGAATTTCTCCACATCTAAACAGGTATGTTATATACTTTTAATTTTTTTTTCGCCGATTTTCAACTGCAGAAAAATTCAAAAAGGGCCTAAGTTAACGATCTTTATGTACATCTCGATGATATTGAGTCAAATACGCGAAAAACGAGTTTATTGGGCGTTCAGCATAAGTTACCGTGTACCGAAAAAAAATTAAATCGGTTTTTGCGTCTAAGCGGGGCTCCATTTATATAAAGTGGACTCGAAAAGCTTATTGAATTACGTAGCGTTTTATGCCAATGGGGGAATTTTCAAATGACTTGAAAAATACTTGCCTACCCACATTCTATACGTGTTTACCTGTGCATTATGTAACGCTCCATATTTTTCCAGTTTACTGATAGCCATAATTTTCCAAATGTTCACTATTGAAGAATCGTTGCAAAGGCATAATTTCTTAATAAAACCTATATAAAAATGGGTTCTTAGTAGGGCAAGATTCCCGGATTTTTCATGCAATTGTAATGGTAGACGCCCCTAGATAAAAATTGATCACAGTAGCAGTGTGGTTGAAATTTTTCCCTAAAACTTCCCATACTTTCTCATAGTCGCCACTTGTATTCCAATATTCAATTGCTTTCTTTCTCTCATTCATTTTCCTTATATATCAATTTTTATTTCATTCCGTCAATTAGTCGATTAATATCGTCAAAAAAGTAATCAATAAACTCCCAAAAACCTGCCTAATTGGACATCATATTTTTTTAATACTTATTTCCTTGCTCTGTATTCTATATTTGGCCTTCACAGATTCCGCTGCTTTTGTTGCCTCACTCATTTTCCCCATTTTATGCTGCCAGCCAATCGTGATTACGAATTATCAAGAACTCTTTCGTTTCCACAATCTAAAAGTGCGGAAAATCTCCCAACATGAAGCAATGCGAACTCTTTTGATAATTCTTGTGTTGCTATCGAACCATTGAACAATTGAAATATATAAAAAATAAAATAATTTTCAGAACAACTTCAAAGTAGCTGTTGCTGGTGCCTCCGGCGGAATTGGCCAGCCTCTCTCTTTGCTTCTGAAAGTCAACCCCCTTGTCACTGAGTTGTCCTTGTACGATATTGTGCACACCCCTGGAGTGGCTGCCGATCTTTCTCACATTGAAACTGTTGGAAAAGTCAAAGGGTAAGTTGCTTTGGGTTCTATCGCGTGAAATCATTAATAACAATATCAACATTCAGATACAATGGGCCCGAAAATCTTTTGGAGGCTCTCAGAAACGCTGATGTTATAATCATCCCTGCTGGAGTGCCAAGAAAGCCTGGTAAGTCGAAGCTGACATCCAAATATTCAATGATACTATTTTGTATGGTTCGTCAACAGTTTATCTAAGAACGCATGTAGTTTTTCAATGTTCAATGACGCTCTTTGGCGATTAAGGAACTATTTGTAAATAACCCGAATGATTAAGAAATAGCAACAAAGCGTGCATATTCTTTTCGATTGTTACAGTTGTTTGTAATTGTGACGATTTTTCGATGGTAAATAGTAAATAAGAAAATGTCAATAGACCATTACATTATTTGTGACTAAACAACTTTTTCTATTCGAGAATATTTTTAATCAATTATCTTTTTTAATGAAAATTCTAGGTATGACCAGAGATGATCTGTTCAACACCAACGCCGGCATTGTGCGTGATCTAGCAAAGGCAGCCGCTGAAGTTGCCCCAAAAGCCTTGATCGGAATCATCACAAATCCCGTAAATTCCACCGTTCCAATCGCTTGTGAAGTGTTGAAACAAGCCGGAAAATTCGACCCCAAAAGGGTGTTTGGCGTGACCAGTCTGGATATCGTCAGAGCCAACACTTTCATTGCTGAAGGCAAAGGACTTAATCCCAAGGATGTAAGCATCCCTGTTATCGGAGGACATTCTGGAGTCACCATTATTCCTCTAATATCCAGGTATTTTCCGAGATGAGTACACGGTATAATTCGGATTATTAATGAGTTATTTTATTTCAGGGCTACTCCATCCGTGAGCTTTCCAGAGGACCAACTTAAAGCTCTGACCACGAGAATTCAAGAAGCTGGAACCGAGGTAAAGAGTATTTTTTATTTATTCTAATCAAGCTGCTAAATATAACTGATTGGAGGTGGTGAAAGCCAAAGCTGGCGCTGGCTCCGCCACTCTCTCCATGGCTTATGCGGGAGCTCGTTTCGCCAATTCTCTTCTTAGAGGTTTGAAAGGAGAATCGAACGTCATCGAACCTGCTTATGTGGTTTCTGATGTCACTGAGTCTGAGTACTTCTCAACGCCCCTTCTTTTGGGCAAAAATGGTACGTATTTTAGGCATTGAAACAGTTTGAAGCTCTAATCTAAAACAACCGTTTAAAATGTTCGACTAAATCCATGGGGTTTACTATTTCAGGTATCGAGAAGAACTTAGGATTAGGTAAACTGAGCGACTATGAGCAACAATTATTGAAAGCCGCCATCCCCGAATTGAAAAAGAACATCAAAGCAGGAGTGGACTTTGCTAAAAAGTAAACTTCTCCTACCTCATAGAATTACGATTCATTAATCTAAAAGTTTAACTAGTCCCATTACAGAATACCGCAAGGGTAGACCAGTTTTATAGATCAACTTTTATAAAAAAAAAATATTTCCTTTCCAGGTTCGCTGGCGAGAAGAAGAAGGCATTTTCTTATTGATTTATTGTTCATGTGCGTTATTTATTTTTAACTAAACATTTTGTCATTCAAACCTTTTAGAATGTTATGTTGGATTCACTAAATATACTTTATTCTTAGTTGACTTGATTGCGACTTATTTTGTTTTTATTCGGTAGCTCTTGTCTTAAATCGCCTTCTTTTCAAGGGATATCATCTGAAAGAAAGAACTAAATAAATTCGTTTTCTTTCATTAATAGACACAAATGAAATAATTTTTCTCATGGCTTACCGATTTTTCTGCAAAGTACATTTCCGTCACGATGCCTGACAATTTTTTCTCTACGGTGTCCATGTAAATTTTAACGTTAAATAGATTTATTTCTGAATTTTCACCTAAAAAAACAAGCAAGCGACATCAAGAAAGGCCAAATAATGGTCATATTTTTTAAATTTTAATAAATTCAATTGATAAAATGCGGGACATTCTTCAGCTTGGAAATATTCACACGAACCCAAAAGTTTCAAAATCGGCCCCCGATCGCAGTCCACCATCTCAAACACTTCCTCTATTCCACTAAGCACAATTTTCAGATTAGCCTGAGCCTGGTTCAGTTGCTTCTCTTCTTCATTAGCCTGTTAATGAGCAAGTTAAAGAATAGACGCATTGTCTTCAGCTTAATCAGATAAGTAACTTTACCTCCGCAGAGGCATTTTCCAAATCTTGTTGAAGAGAGCTTAACGTTGCTTGGCGTTCATTAGCCCTCTGGTTGGTTAATTCAATCTGCTCCTCTGCAAGCAAAGTGATTCATTCACACGCTAATGTTGCGTTTGTGGTCGTTTTTACCGATTTTTTCGCGAACCTGCTCCTTGATATTGTTCAAGCTTTCGATTTCGTGAGTCAATTCATTCACGTAGTTGAAAAGAGCGAAGTTTTCCTCCTCTTGTTTGAGAAAAAGAGCGGCGATGCGTTCCACGTTTTCCTCGTTGCAAAATTCCTGAAAAGTTAGCCAAACAAACAACCCGTGAATGTAATGGTGCTTAAAGCGTTACCTGGATTTGTTTCAGAGTGTTTTCGTACATTTCCAGCTGGTCCTCTAGTTCCTTTTCCTGCATTTCCTTCTTCATTCGCTCTTTTTCCTCCAAGTCTTTCAAGATTCTTTTCTGGCCCTTTACGCATAAGAACTCCCTTAGTGCTATGTAGTGGTCGAGTCTTCGCTGAATCTCTCTCATCTCCTGCAAAGAGGTATTAATTAAATAATAAATTTCGAAAATAATTAAAATTTCTCCAAGCCTCAGAATGAAGAATTAGATCCACATCAGCTCGTTTCTTCAGAGCGTCTAGCTTAGAGCACCATTCTTCTCGTTGGTCGAAAGCCATGATCGCCTGCTCAATGAGGTCAATCATGTACTTTTTGCCCACGTTAATGTCTTTCAACAGTTTTTCCCAAACTTCGTTGAAATGATTTCTGCAATTTCATCTTCGTTTCTTACAATAATTTCTAGACTGTATGTTTACCTTTCTTTTAAGAGATGATTGATTTCTTCTCTCAGCTCTTTATTTGTGGCCAAAATTGCGCAAAATTTCTTTATCGTGTTATCCAGTCTGTTCTTCAAAATTTGCACGGCTTTCTGCCCACTGGTCAATCGAGTTTGGAAATGGTACTCGGTTACTGCTGTTTTAGGTCTTAAGTGCTTGATATCGGTTTCTAGCTAAAATGAATCAAATGTTGGTCAAATGAATGAAGCACAAGGGTATAAATACTTTTTTAATTTGGGCATCCATTTCTAGAATTCCGTCTTGTTCAGTGCGCACTTTCCGGCAATACTCTTCGTAAACGTCCAAAAGCTTGCAAATATCTTTGGATAGTTTTTTGTCTTTCCTTTGCTGCGTTTTGCAACTGGCCGCGTTGATGTCCTCGCAAAGTTTTTCCCGTTCTTGTCTTAGCTGTTGGATTATTTTCCGTTGCTTTTCCAATTTTAGTGTGGTTTCATCGGAGAAAGCCATTCTATCATCTTCCATAATACGCAACTGAAACCCAGCATTTTTTTAAATTTAGTTGATTGCTTGTTTTAGTTAATCAGACGGTTTTAAAATTCGTAACTTTGATGTTCTTATTGTTTTTACCTGACGTCGCAATCTCGCTAGCTCTTCTTCTGCCATCGAAACCATTTCCTTTTCTGTTGAGGCATTGGGTGCTGGCCGAGTAACTTGATTCATTTTTTAAGTTTTCTTTAAATTTCTTAATTTTCTGGTTATTTGAAGGGTGCTTTTGATTTGGCTATTGAGGGTTGAATGTTTGATCAATACATATCTGCCATGAAAACTTCTAATAGTTGAAAGGATGTGAGGTTTACTTTGCTACTAAATACAATTTTAGGAAAAAATGCAGACAATTTTTAACGATTATTTACTGCTTTTGTTATCTTATATAAATAGGCAAATGCATGCTCAAGTGCTTCTAAATGCTCCAAAATGGGGATATTATCTCATAATGCTAATATTAAATAGAATTTATTTTTCAATACGTGCTGCTAAATAGTATCTTGTTTACTTAGGCACCTGAATGAATGTTTAATGTCAATAAAAAGCTTTTTATTTAGATACCGCAGTATCTAATGAAAGGAATTTTTGGAGCAAGCACGAATGTAAATTTTAATATGTCATAGTTTTATGTGATCCAATTAAATTTTATTTTGAAAAATTGGCATATATGTAGATCGTTTCTAGACTGTACTCATAAAAGCTTGTATTTTATGATTTAATTGCATGTAATATTTATTCTAGAGTTTCTGGGTTGGATTTTTAAAAGTTCCAAATTTTATTTCTGCAATCTGAATCAAGTCAGATATTAAACGTTAACGAATGAAATTTTCTACAGTAGACTATTTAGATGCAAATATTTATAGAATAAATGTGGAATTAGTGTCTTGCTGCTGTGAATCAGCCATTTTATTGTCGCTTAAGATCAATTATTAGTGATTTTATTCATTTTTTTTGGGTTTGGACATATCTGGGTTTTGAAAAAAAGTTTTACTTCATTCATTTCAACACTTTTCTTATTGAAGTTTCATTTAGAAATGCCCTTTTCGAGCACTTTTTGAAGCACTGAAGTTCACGATCATCCCATAGGGAAGCATATATGCTGCCATTACGGCGTTTAACATTGGAAAGCCACAATTCAATGTACAGTGTGTCTACTTAAGTTCGCACCGTATGGGAAACTTTCTTATTATTAATTTTACGAAAAAAGGTATTCTTAAAAGGTTATTCCTGCTCTTTGCCTATGTCCTGTTAGGCCCCACGTTCCCCTAACACCAACCGGTAAATCGCATGCGTCCAGGTGAGTTCGTTACCATGGTAGTGACGGCAGGCGGTTTTTCAAACAAGTGAGAAGCGGCAGTTTCTCACAATCTCACGTTTAGTTTGCTCGTAAGGTGCAAGTTGGTTTGTTCCGTGTTGTGCGCCCGCAAAGGTAAAACTCTCGTATTCCGAAAGAACAACGCGAAATTCGGTGGCAAACTGTTTTTTTACTGGAAAAATTAAGTTTTTTTAATGTTTTGTGAGTGATTTTTTAGTGTCCAGCCACGGATTAACTGCGTGTTTCTGTGACAGGTGAGTTACTAGATAAAAGCCATTTGTTTGTATTGTAAAATCAAATGATTGTGTTGTTGTGTTATGCGAGTTGTTTATTTGTAAAAATGTCAATAATTTTATATCAGTAAAAAAACATTTAAACTTGAATTGGTTTACCTGTTGACCTTGAATTAAGGCTTTATGCTTCGATTAATTTATCGTCAAAATACAGGATTTTCTTGTTGCAATTGGGAAACACTACGATGCGAACAAAAATCAAGTATACAACACTTATAAAGCCTTGTTGCGGATATACAGGGTGATCAAGTGTTAGTTCCTATCTTATCCCTTCAGTCCTTCAAATAATTTAGCTAAATAATTTTCTTCTGTTTTTCATTGTGACATGTAAGTACCAAAAATGCCTGAAAATTGCAAGATTTATAGAAATCTGTTTTACAATTTCAAAATTAAAATTCGACGAATATTTTTTAAATGGCTTCAGATATTATTACTGCCATGAAATGTATACAGGGTGTTTTGCCTATATGTGAACTTTTAATATTAGATTTGAGGTAGGTACAAATTTTGAAAAGCAACTTTTTAATAGAAATCTGCAACTTACATTACTTTATTCTAGATATTTTAAATTGGTCAGATTAACTAGTTACTACGTTACAGAAAGAGTACAAATAATTTAGGTTTTTTCAACTGATTTTTCTTCCAGTTGTCTTAAGTATTTTGTATCTATTTTCATTTTGTTGACTCAAAAACCCTGTCTGGTATTGAACTCAGATAACATACAAAGCTTTTTAATTGAAAAGATCCTAAGTGGTTCGCTTTTTGTCTCCAATTTCCAAGATTCGAAATAATAGTAGAATCTCGAGTAAAATGGACTACATTAGTAAATTTTTGCAATATGCAGTGTGACCATAAATAAAGGAACTAATTCAGGCCATTTCCTTTCAGAAAATTTCTCGGTTGCGAATTTATTTACTCTTCAGTGTGCATTTTTGTAAAATTCGAATATACAAATACGACCCTCACGCTGAACATTTCAATTGGAAACCTTTCTTAGTTGGAATCTTGGATTTAACGTAAAATTTCGGATATTTTTGATGTACCATTCCTTTTGACCTCCCGAAGGACTAACCAACCGCTTAATCTCTTCAAAAAAATTAGGCCTAAGAATTAGATTTTTGATGATTCTTGCCCGAACATGAACTTTTCAATGTAGGTATTGAGGGTGTTGTTTTCTCATCTGGCTGGAATTTTCTTCTCCCACATATCGACAGTTTTGTCTATTAAATTGCCCTGTTACTCCAAGTTAATAGGCAAAACTGTAAATAAAGTTAATAAACTTGGGCACTTACAAAAATTATCTCAAAGAAATATTTTTTTGCTTTGTTTGAGTTTGTTTTGCCTATATATTTTTTAGCAGTTTGGCATTTGTCGCACAATCAAACCTCTCTAGAACCGTTGGCATTAAAGCTAATTTAAACTGCAAAACATTTAATTTAAATTTAGTGCGTTAGATTTTATTTATAAACATTATCCCTCTATTTTTTTGAATGTAATTATTCCCATTTTCGTTTCCCTTCTGTTTTTCCAATGAGATAGATACGAAGCGTAATTAGGTACCTAGAAACATCACACATCCACTGATGTTCGTTGATTTGTTTATTTTCACTTCCTCAAAATAAACTCGTATGACGAGGTGTGTTTCCTTTCATTCAACAAATCCGAAGGAAATCCAAACAGTTTTTATTCCTTCTTAGATCATTGCCTGTCAATGGGACTACTTTATTTGCAGACCGACAAAGAACATCTGGTTTCCTCGATATGCATCTAAAGTTACGTGCATAGGTTTTTGTAAATGCCACCAAGATCACTTGAAAAGCTGTCGCATTTAGAACAAGCACAGAATATAATGCCTGCAAAACATTTTTTTGCTTATTATTATGGGTAAACTAGTATTTCTTAATCATTTTTTTGTTGAGACTTTCGCGCATTTTTTAATTTCTGTTTTATTTAGCTTAAAAAGTTGATAAATCTTGAATTTATTCAAGTGGGGAAACAAAATAGCCGAAGTCAGCTAGTTGAGAACATTTTTAAATTAGCTTAGAGCGATTAAAATCTCTATTAAATATGAAAACACGCGTCTTTATACTTAATTTTAAATTGCAAGGATAACATTAAATTCGCCTTAATATTGTTATGAATGGGAATCTGTAAAATGTTAAAAGCGAATTGAAAAATGCACTTTGTAACTCATGGCAACCACTATTCAATTATGAAAGTAATCAAGCAAAAAGTTGTGTTGTTTAGCGAAGTTTTGAGAATTTAAAGATTTCATTAGTATGAACGCTACGCAGAACTTTTTCTACTAGCTGAGTGTTTCGTGTTTAGTTTTTTGCATTTTTTTTATTTTTTGTATGTATCACCTTCTTTTAGCCGTCACATCCATAATTACCAAAAACGCTGCCTGCTTATTTATCGGTATATTTACGTTTCACCTTTGGATTTGAACAAGCTGTAAATCTGTTCTGCTACATTTCTCATTCTTATAACCTATCTGAGTTTTTGAACAGAATAATTTCAATTTTTACAGTCCACGGTTTAGTTTCTCATATTCCTTCATCAGCTTGATTTTTTTTAACAATGTTCAAAATATATTTTTTTAATTTTTCAATTAATTAATTAAGTTTAATTACTTTTTAAAACTTAATGCTTCAAGCACTATCTAAGTTTCTTGTGCAAGATACGTGTTAAACTGTATGTTGAATCTTAAATTTTGCTCAATTCTTGTTATTTTTCAAAATATGTGAAACTTACGCCGTGCTTAAAAAAATTGGAAATTTTGGTTTTAAACTTAACTTAAAATTAAATTGAAGACAACACAAAAATTGTTAAAACAGAACAAAATTTCCAATCTGATAATTAAATATTGTGTCCTAAAAAATATTAAACAGCACGTTAGTAAAGACGTTTTTGTTAGTTTTTTTTTGTTCAGTTTCAGTCGAAGCGCAGTGAAAGCCGCAAAGTGGTTACGAAAATTAACTGTTTTAAGAGAACAATTTTTAAATGTGGTTTGTAGAGCTTTTCCAGCAGGAAAACGTTACAAACTTTTAATTTTCTAACCCATTCTTATACAGGGTGTTATTGAAGTGCGGGGCCAAACTGCAGAAGCTTCTTTGCGTGATTTAAAGAAGAAATTGTTGCTTTAAACTGTTTTATGTTAGTAAAGTAAGGAGTGTTTGAAAAACCGAAAAATTTATTTTAAAAGTTATTTAAATTACATTAATTCGAAGAAGAAACAGACATTGCTAAGAAATCTAACAAAATCTTGCACTTAAAACCCAAGATAATAAAAAAGCAGTTCAAATGCTCTAAAAATCAGCAAAGTGGGACGAAAAATTTACTTTTAGAAAAGTGTTTTTTAAAAGCACTACAAGCTTTATCAAATGCGTCTCCAATTAGAAAACTCCAAATTAAACAAGTTTCCAGCTTTACTGCAGGTTAAATAAGCATGCAATCTTACTTTTGGAGTGGAAGAATGCATAAATAAAGCAATAATATATCTTTGTTGTTTTGTTTGTTGTTTGTTTCTTTTCTCAATAGATATATTTGTGCTTTTGTTTTCATAAAATTTTTTACTCAATTAATTTTTTTCGACCATCGAAAACAGAATGATTCAGATTTATATGATAAACAGTTCTGTTTTATGCTTTGGCTCTAGATAATCGCTTGTTTCGTTCTGATCAATTCGAATTACAATAACAATAACAAAATAAAATTATGATCTAACCATTGTAACTTCATCATTGTAACACATCACTAAAAAAGTTGTATTTTTTTATAGACTCCTTCTCATTATGTCTCCGAAAAAATCCCACCGCCATGTTCTTAGTGATAGTCATTCCAACACGAGTCGGTTCTCTTCACTTTTGAAGACTGGCCGTCTTTAAACCACTGCTGGACTTTAAAAAATGCTAAAATCCCTCGAAGAATACGTAGTGGAAATGGAAAATCGTAGTGCCATAAACGAGCAAAATGCTCAGCATTTAAGCGAGGACATCTGGACGCAGCTGCAACAGAAGGAGAACGATCTCCAACTGGCAGCTGAACTTGGAAAAGCCTTGTTGGAGGAAAACGAGAAGCTGAAGAAGCAGAACGATGCCACAGTAGAAGAATATTCCCGGAAGCTAGAGGTAAGCACTTTAATCTCATTAGCCTAAATCGACTGTTATTCGGGTTGCTTGTATATGCATTACTACATGAATTTGTCATTAAACGGGGCTTAATGATCCATTTATAAAACCCATTATGTGCGAACAGCAGTTTTTCACCTGTTAGGTTTAACTGCGGCATTGAGCTATGCTAATCAACCGTACAATAATGGCTTTTTTTCGATTTAAATAAATGCATTTTGCGCGTTGAATTGGGACGATCTGAAATAAGCCACAGTTTACTTCATCATTTGAAAAAAAACTCGCGTGCCATTATTATACGATATTATTTCCCTAGAGAATGCTATAGAATGCATTGCGGTTACCGTCAGTTTACTAATTGATTGCCGAACAAGTTTGCAAAAACGCGCCTATTTTTTTCCGATTAGTCCATGCTAATTTTCTGCAAATATTAACATACGCTCCTCCTTGGGCGTTTGAATTTCTAACGAAAGTCGTTTGTATTATATAACGGTTATTAACATATTGAAAAGTCGTCCTACACTTTAGATTGTTTACAAATCAGATTATGATCAATTAATTGATCGTCCACCTAGAGGGCTTGAAATGCGACATTGCAGTTGAGGGAAAGTTGTCCTTCCCCATAGGAAGCGGAAATGTGATAGTTGCTTAATTTTTTATAGTTCCTTTCAGTTTTTTTATTATCATACGTGTAAAATTTTTTATAGTAGTAGAAAATTCATAATTCATACAATTTTTTTTTAATTTACAAATTTATACAACCATTTTAAGCCATTTCAAGAGAAACATGTCATACCTTCAAAATATCACACAAAAAAATGCATTTTTTTTAATCTGTGTTTTTTGATGCGTTTGTGTTACTTCAGTGATTAGACTTCTTCTATTTAATTTTATACACTTTTATTCTTAGATTCTAGTGTTTGCACATAAAAAAAATAAGTTGCATTAATGGACAACAATTAAACTGAAACCACCCAACAATACTTTTTTTATTCGAATTAATCCAAGTGCCATTTTTCCTTCAGTAAAAAAACTTAAATAACTCGAATACTAAAAATGATGGAAAAATTCTAAACGCAAAAAATGGATGGAGATCGCCAATGTCGATAAAAATGTTTTTTTGCCCAAATTTAGGAAATATTGATTATTGAAATTGAGGCAGAGTTTCAACCTAACAGAACTGAAAACCCAGAGTGGTGCGATTTCATTTAAATTATTTTAAAGTCTAATGAATGTCTAAGTTGTGCCGAGCCCTAAAAATCTATTGTTAAGTTAGTTAGGAAAGTTGTGCTTGAAGAGCTGAGCACAACTTCGACTTACCTCCTTGTTGTTCCTCCAATAGAGTCTTATATAATTGTGCTGTCGAACACGAATGACAAAAGTAAAGGCAAGCAATATTAGTCCTCTATTGAAATAAAATTACTATGGGAAATTGCTTGAATACTATGCGTCTTGTACCTACAGGTTGTCCATTTAATATTTTGATTTCTAACCGATGCATTATTGTTAGAAATATAAATAAATGAGTACCGAAATGTGGTTTAAGTTGATTCAATCCTACTCTGAAATTGGTCTGATATATACGGGGTTTCCGAACAACGTTCGAGGAAAGGCATAAACATTTTTGTTGAATTGTTGACTATTCATAAGGTTTCGGAAACTGTCCCAAAAATTGAAAATTCGCCAAAATATTCCCTATGTCGTTTGCCTTACCATTTTTGGTAATTAATTTTGCCTGCCTTAGTTTGAATGTAAATTAAATGTCTAATAAAATGATGAAATTATCTTCCTAAAGCAAACGGAGAAAATGTTTTAAAAAGCCAACAGAAGGTTGGTTTAATGGGTGAACAAATAAACGATGTTCATTTAGTTTGCACTAAAGCCAAAACTGTAGGACGTGTAAAACACGTTTCCTTTGTCAAGTACGTGATTCTCCTCAATTTTCAACTATTCAAGCCACCTACATTCTAGATCCAGCATAATACAGGCAAATTTGCATTATCCTTTCCTGTGGTGTTGTATTCAATTTAATGGTTCTCAGACAGGGTCAAGCACGATCCGGTTACTTATGACTTATTTGATATTTATGGCAAAACAAGAATAATGACATGTGAATGACTCACTAGTACTTGTTCCAACAGTTTAACAATCTCCTTCAATATTTGCTGTTTAAATGGCACAGAAAGCTAGTTGGTGATAATTGCCAGGTTGAGGCAATATTTATAATTTATATGGGGTTCAGGACACGGCTTGTCTGTACAAATTGTAAAGGTAAAACCAGAAAACAATGTGGATTTATGCAACTAAGTGAAAACAATTACCTTGAATTAGTCACCAATTTAGTGGGGATTTGGTAATTTGTTGCGAGCAGCACTTGCATTTTTTTCGTTACTGTCGGTCATGGGTTCTATGCAAATTATTGGAGTAATTTCTGCGGATTTTTGGAAATATCGCGCACTTTTAACAGGGGTTAAAATGAAACCCACTTTTCAACCAAAAAAAACCAAATCCACGATCAAAGAAACCAAGGGAGAAGATCATTTTTTAGCTTTGTTTTTTCTGGCATTTGAATCTTTTCAACTGCATTTTCCAGAATAAATATTTAAAGTGATCTTTTATTTACTATTTTGTCCTAGAATAATTTTTTTATTAATAATTTAGCTTAAAACTGCATATGGATGACAAAAAATTAACAAGTTTATACAAAATATGCTTTATGCTGTGGATAAGTTACAACGGGAAATATTAGACTTAATATAGTTGGAGTCAAAAATAGAATAAAACCCACAGAGGTTGGGATCTGTTTGTCTAAATTGTTTTACTGACCTCAAATGCTCAGCTGTTTTCCGTATTATCATCAAATTTTATTTGTTTTTCGACTTTTTAGTTTAATCATTACCTAGGGATTGAATCAGAATTTGCATACATCTTGGCGGAATTTGATAATATATTTTTTCCCGTTTAATCCTGAATAGTCCAAGAATAATGTATTAAAAGCTAAAAATTAGATCTATAAGCGACAGTGGAAAATGTGTATACTACGGGTCTTCTAGACTAGTTATCAATTATTTCTACTTCAAACTACAGGAAATTGTTAGGCAATATTCATGCTAATCGGACATGGATGTGGCCTAATTCCTCAATTTTTCTTCTATGGTTTTTAACAATTTTAAGCAATGGGTTTAAATCAACTAAAGGCAAAAACGCAAACTTAAAGCCAGCTTGTGCTTTTGTCGAAATGGAACAAAACGAGCAACTATTGTTCTTCGCAAGAAAGCTGAACCGAATCATAGGTCACGATTTGACTGTGAAAGACCTTTAAACAGCAGCTTTTCGCAATTTTTTCTAAAAACACAATAGATGCCAGTCAAACTTCAAGATCGAGGTTGGCTGAGATAGCGAAAGATACCCAGAAAAATATGGTTCCATTGTCTTAAGTGGATTTTTCTGGAAAACTAATTAGCAGCAGAAACCGCGATTTGTTTTTTTATGCGTTGGTGATTCTAACGGAAAATCCACTAAATAATGTATTAGAAAATCGAGTTTACATATATGAATTATTTGCCATTCTATAACACCATGACGTGAGGCATTGTTTACCGTTGCTTTAATGGCGGTTCTGCTTAAGAAACTATGAAAACCATACCCATACAGACATATATACGCTCGCCGGACGAATTGCCGTATCACAAATTAAGTACAAAAACAATTTCTAAGAAATTTGTTACCTTCTGGTACACATTCGGGTTAGTTCAGTTAAGGTGATGATCACAACCCAAAGGCAAATTTAAAAGAGCCATTGTTGTTTTACGTTATGTAAGGAAAACCGTATGAAAATGTACTGCCGGAACGTGACATACTGACAAAGACTAAGATAATTTATTAGCTCGGATCGTTTGCTTTGTTCTGAAATATTCAGGCGGTTTCTATTTGTTAGGTGTGAGTTTTTTCTTAAAATATTTACTTTTTTACATGAATTCAACTCATTTTGATTAGTGTCTTCTATTTCAACGTTAGTTTTCAAAAGTCTTTTAGGCTTTGTTCCAGCTCTGTTTGAAAAGGTCATCAAATTTCAGTGGTTGATTCTTTTCTTTCCACATTATTATTGTTGTAATTTTCTCTGTTCTTCCCATTTAGCATTTTTCGTCTAAATATAAAATTTTGTATATTTTGTATACAGTTTTTTTTTACTTTTTTTACTCCTCTCCTTTGTATTGATGTCCTTCTTTCTACTTTTTTAGTTTCCTAGTCAAAGCCGCCATACAAGAGAGGCAGAATCCGCTAAATGAAGTTATTCTTACTTTCGGCTGACTGTAATTTGTCTTTTTTATACCTATTTTCATCTTACTACTTACATTACACCATTCGAACTAACCAAAGACATTAACTAATCTGAGGAACGAATTATTTATACGTACTTATAATTTATTTTTCTTATTCTTATAAATCCATTATTCCCTCTCATTTGTTTATAGGTCACTGACGTAGTTGATTTCAATCGACAGGTTTTGAAAATCATGTATTTTATTCCGCATAATTTTCCTTGCAAAAAATCTTCTTCTGGCACTCTGCATGTTTCATATTTATTTCCTTAACTTCTTGCATATCAATTTACTTGCAAACAGTGTTCAATGAAACTGCTATTCTTTTCCTTTCTACACATTCTATTACAGAACTCGAGTTTTCTGTGTTTATTAATATTTTATTTAAAGTGTTGATATATTGGTTGATACATTGTTCACATTTTTTCCACCGTTTCTATTTTTGCTTTGCGATTTGCCTTTTTCGTCTAGTTTGTCAATGAACTCTGCTATTACGTGCTTGCTAATAGTGTTTGCAAAAATGTGTTTCTTTTTTGCTTTCTCTAATTCTTTAGTTTTTTTACTTCTTCCATGCCAGCTTTCTAGAAATTTGTAAACTAATGCAACTGGATTAATCTGCTCACCTTTTCTTGTCAACTTTAGAATTTTGAGTCGATTTGTTTTCGCTTTTGCACATTTTTTGTTACTTAAAATTGGAAAAGTGTGCTTGATAAACGGTTCTCAAATAGAAATTGTTAGTACTGTTGGACTTTATTTAAGAAGCTAAGTCTTCACTACAAGCAGTTTTACTATTCAATTAATTTCTTTACATTCGCTTCTGCTCTATAGCTCCAAACATTCTCGTTGGAATTTCACACACTTTCTGGGATCGTTATCCTAAATAACCAAAAATGTTTTTTCCTATTCGGAATTTTAAACAAGAAAACTTAATAAGAAGCTAATAATCTCCCTGGTATTACTAATCGTTCTTTCAAAGAAAACTGTTCTTTTTGAATAGAAACTCTTGAATGAAAACAGTTAACCAAATGACTCACTTGAGAAAGTGTATGTTAATTTATGTTTCTCACTGCCCATCCAAGCACATGGATGATATCACTTGCAAAAAAACATTTCCTGTCTGAATAATTTTGCCAAAAATCTTCAAACTAACGAAGTTGATTTTGACGGCTCTCAGTCATATCTTCAGCCTCCGTTATGGGTTTTTGATCATCAAAAAATAAAAATAGATGAATGCCGTAATTTTTTGCAAATCCTCATCAACAGTTCATGTTTGTCTGACTCATTTTATACAAACTTGATTAGATCAACACTGAAACGAGTAATGATAATATTTAAACAGGATTCGTGCAGTGTCGGCTATCTTTTTATCAGGATTACGGTTAATGCAGGTAAACATCGATGTATTGATCAAGGATATAATGAGATTTCTCTTAGATCATGTATAGATTTTTGTACAATAGAAAAGTATGCATCCGGCTTTTCGAGAATTTCCTATTTGGATCTCAGATGAAATTTTTTTGGACAAAGCAAATTTTTCTCGACTCTTTTAAACGTTTCTGTCAGTTTCTTTAACGATAAACGGCTTTTCTTAACTTCCACCTCAAGTCCCTTCATTTATACATTCATGCTTCATTTTATACATTTGAAGAAATACATCATCAAAGATTAATTATTTTTTACATATTCACTGCAAATTTAACAAACTTATGCAACTTTTATTATTAATCATAATAGCCCATGCTCTTAAGTGTTAAGCATGTCTGTTTAATTGCTTTATGGTTGAAACAACGGCAAATGTTCTATTTTTTTAAATTAGGTCGACTACGAAATACTCAGGTGAACATTATTTGTAATTTACAAATAAATTACTTTCTGTACAATTTAAAAAAATCCGGCATTTTTATGTGGATATATTTTTGCAAAATTAATGTAACTAATTGTAATTCATACTGAAATGCGCAAATAGATCATCTGTTTTATTTCAAGTCTTAACTACACTTCATCATCGTTCTCGAGTTGATTGTTTCAGTTTTTATCTGTTTCTGATCTGATTAGTTCAATATTCTGAACATTTGCAAAGCACTTTTCCATGTTATCCAGCAATGCAACATCTTCAAGCGTTCTTTTTCGTCTGCGACATTTCCATAGCAAAAATGGCAAAGTATGTAAAAACTAGATGCTTATCTAAAGCGTCCTCTGAATTTTTCGATGCAAATCCTACGTAAATATTTTTTGCGACTTCAATGCGATTATTACTCATCTCTCATCGCAGTTATTCTTGTATAAAAGTAATTGCCGACTTGGACACTACATGACTAACCATCTCTTCAGCTATGATGTCACTTTAGCTCATTGTTAGTTTGTTTGGCAATAAAAAAGTAAAAGTTTTGCATTTTAAAATGATTAAATGCTTGCCAGCCGAAGAAAGTTTCAACGAAAAATAATTCACCCCGCTGATCTAGTTAAGTCTGTTATAATAATGATTAAAGCTGAAGAAGACTTGCATTAAGCGGGCTGATTCAGAGCTAAGGAGGTGAGTAACAGCAAAACTGCAATTACGATGCAATCTTAATTAGGTAAAAATGAATAGAGATTGCTTAACGGAAGCGTTATATTTTTAATAAAATATTGCACGGCACATATGAGCTAGTTGAATTAAAAGTAATAATTTCCAGTAAATAAGCAACTGCTTTTATGTAACGAATTTAGTAATGTGGGGCTATTTTGAATTGGAATCAAATTTAAATCTAAAGAATAAAACAAGTGGAAAACTTCGTAACCAAAAGTAACTCTTTATTGAGAGCTGAGGTTACAGCTTGAAATCAATTATTTGGAAGTTTATTTTTCAGAACAGTCGGGTTTTTCTGGAACTTGCAATTTTAACTGTGGTCTTTCATTTTGCTTCATTTCCACCATCCTGGCCAGCATCTGCTGAGGCACTAGCGCTCTTTTGCCGTCGTAGAAAATGTTCTTTTTCTCAAAAAGTTCCTTATTAATTTTCAAGTGTGGTGGAAACTCCTCAGGCATCACTGGACCACTTCTTGTCTTGTAATATAAACCTGGAGCTTTGGAGTTTAGCGCTTTAGAGCTGGGTTTTTTGGGAATCGACATCAGTCTAAAAAGACAAGGTTGGTTTAGTTGTAATTGAAAGAAATGAGGCAAATGTAAAATAGTTTCCTGACTTTTTATACAGCGGGTGCAATTTTCTCTCGTTCAGCTCTATCAGCTTTAACTCGACAGACTGGAAGGGTGGCATCGGGTCTTTCTGGCCCTTTAGGGTGGGATCCTTCAACATTTCCTGTAAAATTTTTTCTTCAGAGCTGACTTTGGGCTCAGATGGTTGCTGGTAGTGCTCTTTTTGCAGAACGTAGGCCGTTCCGCAAGTTCGATAAACAGTTCCTCCCATTTGGGAAATTGCGCTTAAGTCCCGCTTTGCTTGTTCTTCAGTTACTGCGAAAATAGTTGGTTTGAGGTCGTCGAGAGTAAAAGACTTTTAGCGCTATGAATGTCCTAATCAACCCTCAATCATTGTGTCATGTATCAGGAATTCCAAGCAACCTGATTCATATCTATCAAAATGTTGTTCACGGCACGCAATCTGAGCCCCCAAGGAATTTGCATTTTACCTGGTCGTTGGATGTTGCGAAAAGTAGTTTCACTTATTTTCCTATTCGTTTGCATGCCAAACTGTTCATTTTTCATAAAGTTCTAAAATGTTCCGGGAACAGAAGTGAAACTCATTCGGGATCGGGAGGTTTGAGTAGGAAGTGACAAAAGACAAACTAGTGTGAAATGTGACCAGTCACTACAAATTAAACGAGAAGCAATATGGAAAGGCATTTAAATGAGTTCATTGGCAAAGAAGGTCAACATTTCAAGATTTTTCAGCGCCCGGTTAAAACGCTTTAGCAAGGACACGACAAGAAGTTTTTGCCCAGAGAAAACGCTCGCCATTGGTTATATCGCTGTTTAAATTTAAAACCCTTACCAAACTTTACAGTTTCACACTCTTTTTTCTGGGGTTTTTCCTTCTCCAGACTCTTCTGGGCTGGCTTTTTCGTTCTCCGAAAGACACTCCAGATGGATTTTTTTGGAAGGCGGCAGGGCTCCACACATTCCCGTTTCTGCTCAACCTCCTCCAGGTTTTGAGCAGACCGATGTTTGAGCCTCAATTGCGTAAACATGCCGCCAAATGCTTTGTTTAACTCACGGGAATTTCGAAATGGTTTCAAAGCCCGGCCTGTCAGCCTCATATTGCTTGCGTTCTTTGAGACACGATGATAATTTTGATGTGTTCGCCTGCCAATCTTTGTCAATCAACTGAAGTCAAATTGATGTATTGAACCGGAACGAAACTGCTCAACGAGCAATCATGATTCTTTATTCTATTGCAACGGTTTTGTTCTAGAATTAGAGAAAACTATTGACTAATGTCCACATTGCAGATGGTTTTTGCAATCTCTTTGATTTCATTAATCAGTATGAAATCTTATATTGTCCTTGCTCAACATGCCATCTTTTCAGTTTGCACTGATTTTACAGGTTATTAGCCTAATAGTCGTTAAATGGGTTTTGTTGAACAGTCCGCATTCCAAGAAACCAATGGAACTGAAGAGGTTTCATTCGTTTTGGTTTCGTGCGTCTTTAATTTCAGCCCGATTTTTTTCGTTTATTTCACGTTTTTCTACAAGGTTTAGTTCAATGGAAACGATGTTTGAAAGATTGTAGAAAAAGCATTTTCTCACAGCATTCTTAGTTGCAAGCATTTTTAAATTTCGGAATCATTTTAGTCTTAATAAAATTAGCTCCTTCTAAGTGCATTTAATCTTGGGAAATAAAAGAAGAAAAAGAGGAAAAAAAAAAGATACGGTGAAATATATTCTAAGAGATCAAAATTTGAAGATCTGGTACTTTTCGTTCTTCAAGTAGAAGAAACCAATAGAATAAATAATGCTGAAATGAAGCAATAACTGAGGTCGTTTACATGTGCTTAGGATCGGCTCCCGTTTGAAAATTATTTATTGAACCAACAGCGAAACAAAAAAGATAAATTTCATTGTAAGAATAGAAATTGGATGTTTATTCCCACGAAGATAATTTCATCAGGAAACACTAATTGTGAAACTTTGTTGTTTCACTGTTTCAACTGTCCTCATTTCTCTTTGTCATTTATATTTTACTCCAAGCCACCAATTATATTTCATTATCATTCTATTATTGTATGTATACATGTTTTACAACGTATTTTTAAATAAATAAACAAATCCACTTCAAGTAGAATACTTTGAAAAATTTTTATAATTGCTGTGTGAGCAGGAAGCACAAAATCTCTAATCAATGCGTTTGAAAAACAATCCATTTACCCAGCTAATATTAGGAAACAGTAGTTTCTCATCAAATCGCACATTTCCTGTGCTTTATTGGGGATATCCAACTTTCTAAGACATCCAAATAAACTACTATCAACGTAGCAAAAAAATAAGCTGTTACCTAATTTGCCTCACCATTTAATCTTAATAAGATGGGAAGTAATCTGGTAAAATATAATTGACATCAAAGCCATTATATGGAACTTACATAAAATACCACCTTTATTAATGATAAATATATGAATTAGGAATTAAAACAGATGCTTGATGTGTAACAAGTGGAACTTGGTAAAGTGTGCCTATTTTAAGATGAAACATTTATAGTCTGAGAAAGCTTGAAGTTTTCTTCAAACGCTTGATATCACACATGAAACGTTCACAACAATGCAATATTAAACAAAAATGAGTTTTATACAACAATGACTTGTTTAGGTTTAAGTTTTTGGCAAAGGAAAGGGATTCACACACTTTAGAAGCTCTTGGTCATTTTCTTCACTTTTCAAAAAGTGCTAAGGAAAATAAAAAAATTAACATGATTTTCTAGATGGAAACGAAATATGTTCAAGTCATCTAAAATTTTATATTTATATTTGTGGCTGTTCTTTCCAAAAAATAAAATATTCAAACCGATCATCAGGCGCTAAAGTTTGGAGCGGAAAATTAAACAAGATGGACGGTGAATAACGAACATAAAATATATTTTCATAAAATTGCAACCAACTGTAATCGTAAAAAAGTTATTAAATTTAAAATAAATTTCACATAATAATATTACAAAACAACAAAGGTGTAACTTTAATAAATAATCGATATAAAAAACTGACTTGAAGTTCGATTTAAAAAAATCGAACCGAAAAATCTCTTGATTAAAGTGTAGTGATGGAATATTCTTAGAGATGCAGAAGAGTTACACATCAAACTGAAGCTTTGTAAATTTGATGAATGTTCATACATAAAACGTTTCGAAGTAACATTAAACGACCCAGATAGAGAAAAAAACCACAGACAAAAAAGAGTAGGAAATCAAAAATTTTCCGATTGTTTTCTCATTTTATACCTAAATGATTTTTAAATATACAATTTTCAGGGAACGAACTATTGATTATACAAACTATGAGGAACAAGGATTGGCAGTAATGTCGTAAAATTCCTCTAGTTGTCACGAACCACCGTGCATCACCATATAAACAGAATTTATTAATAAAACAACATGCCAAGAATAATAATTATTGATTTAGTACGTTAAACGTTCATAATTTCAAATGAATGTGCCATTCTTTATTTCATTAAAAGTTTAACCGTTGCCGGTTTAATTAATTAATTTAAGCCGGTAGAACAACACACAAAAAAGTGTAAATGTAACATGTTTTGACAAATAATTAGCTCGAAGCACGTGCCGTGCAAAACAATGAAGGAAAATCCGTGATAATTTCAAGAACCCCATTATGCGATCGAAACCGAGTGGTTTGCAAGAACCTCGAGGTGATTTGCCAAGTGTTTATTATTATGCTTAAATTTGCGCTAATTTCTTGCATCTAATCGAACAAAACAACTAGAAACCACAGTAGAATCCAGCGCTTTAGGCCTTTACTGGTATGCAGCAGCTGACCTACCTAATTAGAGCGTTTAACTTCCAAAGCTTTCGGTTCACTCAGTAGTAATTTACGTCGACGTAAATAATAAAGCCCCCTAAACATACAAATAAATCTACACGTTTGAAGGAAAATGAGAAGATTTAGAATCTAAATTCTGTATTTACTTAAACCATTTTTCTCGGTGGGATCGACTTTTCCTCACTTTGACAGTTTTTTGACTATACAGGAGGAAATAGAAATATTTTAAGAATACAATACCAAAAGTAACATTGTTGTTTATTTGAGAAAACTTTGACTCATTGTAATTAAATAAATACACTTCTACTGCAAAATGTTTAAAATCATTAAAAGCAAAAAAATTAAATTCCTCCAAATCATTTATGTGGCACAGAAGAAAACGAAATACCAACTTTAGTAATGAGTAGAGAAAGAACATTACTAAACGACATTTTCCCATCGACTTAACTGGAGCACTTTTTTTTGTAACAAATGTTCAGTCATTTTTAATTCTTATTTGAATTTTTTGGGCAATATTGGAGACACAAAATAAAAACAAGAAATTTCGCACTTAATCAACTCGATTTCTTAATGCCAAGGTGTGCAAAGGTAGTGCGGTTATTCAGGGAAATTTGATTATATTACAGCAACATTGTCGATGACTTCAATTCGGGCAATGTTCATTTAGGACTTTTGATAAGAAATGATATAAAATATTTTTTAGAAAACTTTGTAAAAATATCATAAACAATTGAGTAGCAAACGATGTGAGAAATAAGAAAAATATAACTTTGAATGTAAAACGCCTCTCTACTGAAGCATTTGCTTTTGCAACTGCGTTGTTTTTAATCACAAAACGTAATTGGCGCATCTGTTTTACGATGTCTAATATTCTCTAAATAACTCGGTGCTTAAAATAGCTACTAATTCCCTATTTTAATTGAAACTTAATTAACGGTACCGATTGATGAAAATTCCGCAGGTTATAAAGCAATTGGACATTCTACTCTTCTAGAAGTAGAAATATTTTGATAAACAATGAAGAATGACTGCCTTCTCACAAGTTTGGTCGATGTTAAAATAACGTATACTTAGAATGAATAGAGTACCAAATTAACTAAAAATAAAAATGAAGTCAAGGTATAAATATGAAACGAAAACGTGATCCGATCGATTCGAGTTTGAATAAAAATTCAGCAAAGTAGGTTAGACAAAGTACGTTGCTGGTTGGTTTTACGTAATGAAAGTGTAATGCGGCCAAACGATCTAGCCGTGAGATGATGACAAATTTATAATTTTACAATATGCAATTAAATGTTCCGGGTGTTTCTCAATTTCGGACTTTTGAGGGCAAAATCGTCTCAAGTAAACTTTTAACCAAGTCTTCATTTATATTATCATATGTTTCTTCTTTCTTTATTTAAGATTTTTGTTAACAGTTAATTTGATTGGAAAAAACTATCAATTTGTAGATATTGTAAATCACATCGGAACACATTGGACAAAAAAATCAAACCAGACCAATGAACTTTTCGAGAATTCCACTAAACAATTGATTTTTATTTTTAGGTGAGTCTTCTTCCTAAGATCCTGTGGTAGCCAATGTGTAGGTAAATATGCCGTTATGTTTTGTCTTCAATATTCCCATTAATATTCATATGCCGATTCGAGGAAGAAAAGCACGCAAATTGTGAGCCCATTCCTCATGTCGGTTAGAGAAATATTAGTAAATATTTACAATTTCTAGTTCAGTGAAAATAGAATATATTCAGCCAGATCCATAGAAACATCTGTTAAATGTTGCAAAAAATTGCTGCTTTCAGTATGCAGCTACTCGAGATTCCTTGATTGAGTGTTTCATCGTGCAAATCATCGAAAGAAGATATATTCATACATTTCTAATGCTTTCTCCGTTTTCCTTATTGAATGCTGCTTCAAATTGAGTAATGTATTAATTAACAATTTCTGCAAATGTGTTCAACCATAAGCGCGAAATGAGAAAAGTTATTATCTTCAGTTCTGATTGAACATCTGCGACAAGAGTACTCCGATTCGTTTAATCGAGTTAAACGGCGATAACCTCTTAATTGCTTCATTAAATAAGCTCGTTTTTAACACTTTATGCAATTACATCGAGCACGCATTTGCATGTTCACATTACATACGAAAATGCGATGAAACAAATACAAAACTTGATGCGAATGTCCATAACTTTTAGAGCGCATTTCCTCCTTAGGTAGGTTTTTTCTATTTTCCTTTGCGCTTCCTATTTATCATTTATATAAGCTTAATTGCTTCAATCCCATAATATTGCCGCTAATAATAATAATATGCTGGTACAAAGGTAATTGAACTATAATTCCAAAC